ATGACAGTCTGATGTTGTATGACAGTCTGTTGTTGTATGACAGTCTGATGTTGTATGACAGTCTGATGTTCTATGACAGTCTGATGTTGTATGACACTCTGTTGTTGTATGACAATCTGATGAAGAGGATGCTGAGGGTTGTCTATAATGTTTTTCATTTGATGAAGAATCCTTCTTTGAACAATCATCTCCAAAGGTTCTAGAGGAGTCCCCAGAACTGAGCCAGCCTTCTTTATGAGCTTGTTGATCTTTTTGAAGTCTCTTGCTCTGGTGCTGCTCCCCCAGCAGATGATGCAGAAGAGACAGCGCTCTCTACAACAGACTTATAGAAGATATGCAGCATCTTGCTGCAAACACTGAAGGACTTCATCTTCCTAACAAAAGGTCACTGAAATAAATTTAAACTGCCAAAACAATTACTGAAGACAGTCAAAGCCTTGAATTCAATTGATGTGAAACGTAACAAAACAAAACCAATCAAACCGGCCTTGACATAAAGGATAGCACTCCTAGAAAAGACTGAAACTAATATGTCCACAGGGACATGTCAAACCGAGGTGTGTCTTCAGCCATAATCATCAGTCTGCCTGTAGTCACAGGGCTGTTCGGTATCATGGTGTGTAACACACTGAACATGGACCACAGGAAGCTGGGGACAGAGCTGTCTCAGGAGCCACAGGAAGCTGAGGACAGAGTTGTCTCAAACGCTCAGAAAGACTCTGATTGACATCATGTTGAAGGTAAAGACCACCAGACCATCTCCATCAGCTTCATGTTCCTCTGTACTGCTGCACAGGTTATTCAGAAGGTTCATGTCCACAGGACTGGAGACGATGTCCATGGACATGTCCACAAGAGGACAACTAATGACTGAAGAGACAGATGATAATGTGATCACGTTGCTGCGTTCACACGGACTCATGTTCGTGCTGCTGTTCCACGTGTTGTTTTCATGCTGCTAGAGCTTAGTGTATTTGTAGTTGATGTTTTTCTTAGTTCATGTCTTGGATCTTGTCTCTGTTTTTATTTTACATTTTATACTTTAGTTGGATGTAACTGGGACCCTGTGGACACAACTTCGTTCCACCACATGTACCACATGAGGTCTGTACAACAAAGAACCTTGAAGAAGTCAAGAGTTCAGAGCAACTTCCAGAGATTAGGGGTGACCTCCAAGGTCAAAGGTCATAAGTGTCAGGTCACACCATCTGTCTCTGTTTGAGACAAAGTGGACTTCATGGAAGATGAGATCGGATCATAAAGACAGTCTGAAGTTTCTCAAAGGTCATTTCAGTGACCTTTGAGAGATTTTCTTTCTTTAACAAAAGGGTTCAAACTAATTGATCCATGTCCTCTCTGGTCTGGGGACGCCTGGAGTCTCTCAGAGAAGCTAGAGTGCTGTTTAGGAGACGGCCATGTGGGTTTCTCTCAGACCTGTAACCTCCACGAGCCGACCACAGAAAAGTCTGGATGCTTCTAAGGCAGGGGTGTCGAACCCACTTACAAAAGGGGCCAAAATTAAAACCTTTTTCAAACCAGTGGCCAATTTCAGAAACTACATGAACTCAGCATCTGGTTCCTCAACAAGAGTTGGATTGGTCTCATTTGATGTTCTCTGTTGTGCTTTCGACATCATAATCAAAGATGACTGACAAAATTCAAGAGATGGGAGTATTTTACGTTTCACATATCATCTTGGGGGGCCAGATAAGATGTCAACGAGGGCCACATTTGGCCCCCGGGCCTTGAGTTTGACACGTATGTTCTAAGGTGTCACCAGAGCAGGACTCGCAGATGTTTCCTGACGTTCAGTCTTTGAGTGTTCCTTTTCTCTGCATTTCAGGCTCCTTCAAAGTCAAAATTCATCAGACTATTGTGTTCAGAGACTTTCAAAACCACCCAGTTCCAAAGAACCAGCAGCACCCCCAACTGACCGAATCAAGCAGTACCTGATGTCTCTGAACCACATGGATCCCCCACAGAGGGACGGGGACAGCAACACACCTGTACTTGCAGATATATCACCACATCGTCAGCATAGAGACGTATCTTCAGCTCCTCAACACAAACCTAACCTGTCCTGTTCAGGAGACGTCCAACCGTCCAGGCAGCACCTTTTGAACACGTCTCGGTACGACATGGACTCCGTGTGCTCTGATTGGAGCCTGAGGTCCGGCTCGACCTTTGACACCAGAGATGAGACGGCCTTTAAAGATGGGCTGGCTGCTCTGGATGCCAGCATCGCCAGTCTGCAGAGAACCATTCAACTGGATCTGAAGAACTGAATCACCTTTACCTTTTTAAAAACTTCTCCGTATCATAGTGGGTTTTTTTTACCCTCATCTTGTTCCATATAGTTTAAGATTTAAAATCAAGCTGGTTTGAGTTCTTTGCATTTACAGCAGTGGAACAGATTGTTCCGTTTGCTCTTAGATGGTTCTCAAGACTTCTCATTTTTGATTTAATAAACTTTTTTTTATCATGAAATGAAGAAAAATCCTTTCTTTTATTCTCGTTTATTTTTATAGCACCAATTCACAGCAAATTTCAATCGATCGATCAATCAATCAACATTTATTTATAGAGCCCTTTGCAACAGCCAAAACGTCCACAAAGTGCTTCAGAGTGCAAAGGTTAAAAACAAACGATACAAAGATGCCAGAGAGCCACTACGTATTAAAATCCTGCCTGGATTATTTTTTCTTGCTTGCTCTTGATGAGGACGGCCACGTTTCCCTCCTGCTTTGCTCTTTGTCTTGTGATTCCTATTGGAGCCGCTCACTATTCTACACCATACAAATGGTAAATTATGGATCTGGTCAGCTGGTCTCTCAACGCAACTGACAACAATTTGTTGATGAGAAGACAGGACGAAGGCGAGCCCTCGTGCTCTGAAGGGACACTTGCAGCTGGGTACACTATGGATTCCTGGGAGCAGTGGAAGATGGTGCGTCTGTCTGTATTGTCCACTGAGGACGCAGAAGACACGTACATAATTGGATTTATGATGACCAGATTTCTGCTTTTTGGTGTTGGCAGGTATCTAACATATCGACAAACATGGAAGACGGCGGCAGTGGTTCTGGCAATTGTTAGGCTGCCTGCTTTGTGTGAAGGAATGTACAGACGGGTAAGTTCTCAGACTCAGATGCTGCATGAGCTGAGCCATAAGCTGGACATGATTTCAGAGAATCGCAGATCACTTGCGGCGCCTGGGACCCACTGGCAGGAA